GTTCAATAACACGGCTGACCTGCCTTCCCTTTCTTCTGCAGTGCAGTTCTGACGATTTTTTTTTTTAAAATAAAGTCCGTTTATGACTATTGTCATTCAGCTGCGACCCTCTTACTTTCAAGAATCATTCCGGACAGGCTAATCGTACTTTCAAATGGCCATTCCGTTTTCTGTCATTTCTGTTAAAATATCCCAGTGGGGCAGGTGGGGAGGGAGACAATAGATGTTAAAAAAAAAAAAAAAAGCAGCCAGACAAATCGAACATCTGGCTACATCTTTACGCCGTCAGGCATTCCCCCTATCGCGATAAAGAAAGGAAAGCAGGCGAGCTCCTATCGCCGCGAACAGACAGAGGAAAACAGCACGACAAATAAAGAAATAAATACCCGGTTCTCTTCCCGTCTCTCTCTGCCTCCCCCCACCCCACAGACGTTAATCTAAGGGAAATAGAGAGGCTGAAAGAGGAGAGGAAAGCGGGAATCGCAGGAGTCCAGAAGCGCTTGCTTGCTGCAGCCTGATCGCATCTCTCCTCAGCCGTGAGAACGGAACCCCGATTCTTAAACCCGGAGAGCCCCTAGATTTGGGGGCAAAGAACAAAGTGTTAATTAAAGCCAGGCGGAGAAAATGGCCATTGTTCCCCTTTGTGGAAAAGCGGCACTTTGAAAGCGGAGACCTGTGATTTTTTTTTTTTTCTTCCCCTCTACGGAGCGCCAGATCGTTAAAACCTGCTTCGTGGTGGCGAACCGGTCGCTCTCGGGGCTGCGACAGAGGGCTCTACTCAAAACAGCCAAGACCAAAGGCGGGAGGATTTTTTTTCTTTTTTTTTCTTTTTAGTGGGGGGGTGGTGGAAAGAGAAGATGGGGGAGAGTAAGAGATCAATGCCCGCGCTGCCTCAATCCTCGCCTCTCCTCGTCTCCCCGCTACCCCCCTCCCCGCGCGCTCCCCTTCTCTTGCCCAGCCTCTGAGGTTCGTTCGCACCCGGCCACACAGCGGTGTGGGAACTGACTCTGGAAAAACCTCCCAGACGTAGGGGGGGGGAAAAAAAGAGAGAAAGAGAGAGAGCGGCTTTTGCTGTCGGGAGGGGAGGGAAAAACGTGCTTAGGGTTGAGTAGCTGTGACGTGTAAAATCGCACCGCGGCGGGCTCCACTTGAGCCGGAGCCTGCGAGGGAGAAGCTTAGCTCACGCGCTCGCGCAAGGCCCGCGCAAAAGCTTTCCTCACAGCCCCCTCCTCCCCGTCCCGCGCCCGTGCCCGCGCGCGCGATTGGGCGCCCCCGAAGAGAGCTCGCGCATGGTTGCGCTTCAAGCCCGCGCTGGCTGCTGTAACGGGAGAGAAAAGGGGGGAAGGCAGAGATTCCTGGGAAGCGCGCCAAGGCGCGCCCACCCACCATTGGGAAGAGAGTGAGAAAACAGGGCGCGCGCGCGAGCGAGCGAGCGCCGCGCACACACACACACACACACACACACCACACATACAACAGACCCAGAAACACATCCACGAAGACCCACTGGAGAGGAAGCCGAGCGCCCGGGCGCACGCCACAGCGCACTCACACGTTCCCAGCAGTTCTATTTTTCTCTCACGCACGCACGCGAGCGCACACACACACACACACCCGCAGGCACTCACTCACATACAAACTCGGGCACGCAAGCACTCACCCGCACACATAGAGATAACAGTAACTCTCTTCCCGCGCTTCGCCCAGACCTTCGTCACTCTCTCTTCTTTCGACGGAGTCCTGCTTCTTCCCTTCGAAACGGCTGTTCGCCATCCTTGACCAAGGAGAAAGAAAAGAAAGAAAGAAAGAGCGGGCGAGAGAGTCGTTTCCCCCCATCCTCAGCCGCGGCTCTTCCCTCAGGTATATTTGAGAGCCGGAGGAGGAAAAAGAAGCAGCAGAAGAAAAAGAAGAGAGGAGGGAGGCGAAGAGAGGAAAGGGAGCAAGCGGTCTTCTCACAGCCAAGACCCCAAAGCCCGCCAACAAATCTGCAGTAGGGCAAGTGGATCTTTTTGAGTTTGCCTTCTGGGTCGCCCCTTTCGCCTGCTTTCTCTGCTGTAGGGTTCCGACTGTTTTCAAGTAAAACAAAACAAATGAGCTGCTGTTAAAAAAAAAAACAAAAAACAAGTCCGTTTTATCCCTTTCCCTTTTTTTCCCCCCTCTCCTGCAGTGTCCGTCTCCCATCTTAATCCGGTTTGGGTTTTTTTCCCCCTCCCTCCCTCCCTCCCTCACTTTATTTTTGGTTGGATTTTATAGATCTGGAAGAAAAGCTTTGGCCGGAACCGAGTGCCTCTAAATCTCCCCCCCCCCCGTCCGCCCCCAACAGCATTTTCATTTTTATCCCGCCGCCACCTCTCTCTTCTGCTTTGATTTTGAATGCCAGCTGAGGAAAATGGGCAACGACGCTTCCGCCAGAAGGGGAATGTCTCCGTGCCTCTTTTTGGGACATGTGCTTGTGGTGCTAGGATCTTCTTAGAGATATAGCTGCCTGCTTTCGGAGTGGAAGGTAAGGGTCGTGCGGGAAATGGGAAGGCGGTAGGGGCAGTTAGGCTAGAGTGGTGGAGTGGGAAGCTTAGCCTGCTTTTTGCTTAGGAAGTAAGGCGAGGTGTGAGGTAATAGGACTTGACACACAAGCCTTAACCCGAAAAAAAATCTCTTCATTTGAGTGTTACCCTGCTATCAAAAGTTAGAAAACTCGCCTTGGCAAGTAGACAAGTCATCAGAATTGATAGCCCAGCTGCAAGAGGAATCTTGCCTCCATGGAAAGGTCTGTGAATGGAGGTGGTGATTTCAATGAAAGAAGAGGAGGAAGGGGATGCTTCGGTTAATGGGAAGTTTCAGGGAGTATGTGGCTCTTCCTTGGTGGAACCAATCTATGGAGTGATGGCGCCGTCTAGGTTTGATTAAACTAGTATCACCTGGGGTGGGGGCAAGAGAGAGAGAGAGAGAGAGAGAGAAGCAGATTGCTTTTCAGTGGAAGAAACTGAATTCCCATGGATCTTGGGGTCCTCCGGAATCAAGGCTTTTTAAAACAGCTTTCTCTTTTCCCGGTCCATGATCTGAATCATATGAGGCTCTTGCTTCTGAAATGACTGAGAGCTTATCATTGGCATTTGCTGAATCAGTCCCCCAAATATTATGTTCTGCTGTATTTGGTGTATTTAAAAGGTTGCCCCTGTGTAAGTGATGGAGAATTGTCTTTTTCCTGATCAAACAGGGAAGCCAAAATGAAAACCATTGGACTATAAGATTCTTAACAGAACACAGCAGCCGGCAGTGGAAGCTCTTGCTGTTTTTAAGAAATAATTTTCCTGAGGTCTCTTCCTGCAGTTCCTCAGATTTTTATTAAATGTCTAAATAAGGCCAACACGCTTACTACACATTCTGAAATAGATAGTCCTTTATTAATGGAATTCCTAAAGTTATGTTTTTAATCCCACATTGTTTTTCAGTGCAAGACCTTTGCAAATAATAACAGGGCTGCAGTGCTCACAAAGTGCTCCAGCAACGTCTGTAGAGCATCATATGCAGGATTTGCTCATAAGCAAGTTCCTTCTCATCCTTTCAGCCTCATTTTGCAAAGAAGCCATTTGTTGCTTATAATGCTCAGCAAAGAGAAAAGGGTTTGTCATTTCTTGGCAAAGCTTATTTTCCACACTGCATACTGCTCCCTGTCCTATTATTTTTCTTCAGTAACTTACCGATTTAAAGAAAAACAAAGTCATTTGCTTTCCTCCTATTCATGTTTAGAGTTTGTGGTTTATAATCTGGGAAGCTCAAAATCTCTTGATTTGTTCAGCATTACGCAATTGGGGAAGAGAGATGCCTGCCTGGTTATTCAGAGTGGAGATAAAAAAAAGCTGGAAAGTATAAGAGGAATTAATATAAAAAATTATTAACTGTATATATGTTGTTGATACATAAATAATAGAAAAAGTGCTAACTAATTCATTTAAAAATATAAATTGACATCACAGAGAATTGGTCACCATTAACTAAAGAAATAAGCAACTTCACAAATATGACTGCTGGAAATATCTTCTCTCACACATGGTTTCTCTTAAATATATTTGCAACTCATTTTCTTTAGAAAGAGATACATAGAAATTGCAGCTACTGTGAGGATTAAATACATGTGCTATTTCCAGGATAGAATTGATAACAGAGAAGAGATGGCAGTATTACCTAACATACATTTTTAAAAAGCATCAATGTGGGTCTGTTTAAGAGGGAAGTTGTATTTCAATAAAGCAAGTAGCCCCTTTAATTTCTAGTGAAAATTGACTCCACATATTCCACATGGAGTGAATTTCAGAGACATTTCAGTATTCAGAGTACTGTAACTTGCTCCTACTGATGGATGGAAGAAAGTTTTCCCCCCAAATAAATAATGATTTATTCAGATTTTTTTTAAAAAACATGTTAATTTAATTTACTTAATCTACTATTCTAGTGACAACCATAGAGAAAATAATGCTCCAAGTATAGGAAAAAGTAAATTGTGCATTTTTAAAATTATGACAGTGATTTGAAATAATTGTTCAAACTGACAATAACAGTAGAAAATATGCTGAATAACAATAGTTGCTCTAATTTTTCTCCTTATTGCATGAAAATATTGTATAGAAGAGCTATATAAAAATAATTTCTCTATTGTAATCTATCTGATAAAGTTTGTAATTAAAATAATCAGAACCTGCCAACTTGTACAAAGCAAAAAGATACATTTGTGATAATAATATAACAAATGTTATTTTTTAAGTCTGGAAAAGCAGATTAGTCAGCCAAATTGACCACATGGTGGCACTATTCACACAGCATCCAACAATTTCTTGAATTAAAATAATATATTTAAAACTATTTTTAAGGGGGAAATTACATATATATTCTAAATAGAATCCTGAAAATATCTGGCTGCAATTTTAGAAGACATTGGAGTTTCATGAAGCATTTGACCTGCATTCTTGATTTCCTCTCCTCTTCTGCAGGCCAAATGACATAGGATGAAGGCTGTTCGTAATTTGCTGATTTATATATTTTCCACCTATCTCCTGGTTATGTTTGGATTTAATGCTGCCCAAGACTTCTGGTGTTCAACGCTGGTGAAGGGGGTCATTTATGGATCGTATTCTCTAAGCGAAATGTTTCCCAAAAACTTTACCAACTGCACATGGACGCTGGAAAACCCAGATCCAACCAAATATAGTATTTACCTGAAATTTTCCAAAAAGGACTTTACTTGCTCTAACTTTTCCTTGCTGGCTTACCAATTTGATCATTTTTCACATGAAAAAATTAAGGATCTCTTAAAGAATAATCATTCTATAATGCAGCTGTGTGATTCCAAGAATGCTTTTGTATTTCTGCAATATGATAAGAATTTCATTCAGATACGTCGGGTCTACCCCTTTGATTTCATAGGATTATACAAAAAGGAAGATGATAAAAAGTCTTTCTTTGAATTTTTGGTTTTGAACAAGGTGAGCCCAAGCCAGTTTGGTTGCCATGTATTATGCACTTGGCTGGAGAGCTGCTTGAAATCTGAGAATGGGAGAACCGAGTCCTGTGGGATCATGTATACAAAATGCACCTGCCCTCAGCATTTAGGAGAAGAAGGGGGAAATGACCATTCCATGGTGTTGCTCAATAATGTCGTATTGCCGCTGAATGAGCAGACAGAAGGCTGTCTCACCCAGGAACTGCAGACCACCCAGGTCTGCAATCTCACAAGAGAAGCCAAGCGGCCACCAAAGGAAGGTAGGTGCTCTTCAAAAGGGCTCCATTGTCCCACTGCCCTTTCGTGTAATAAATTTAAATGATGTATAAGTCAAACTGAGTTGCACTCCACACCAGTTGCTGCATAAAAGGATTTCTGAAGGTCTGCAGTTGGTCATTCTCTGGATTCCTTCTAAGAGTGAGGATCTAATTTTGTTCATTTAATGTAATGTGTAATATTAATCTAGCTAAGGCTTTCCTTCTCTATTAAAGTTAGGACTTATGATTTTATTTTCCAGTAAACATAGAACTATGCTGACAGGTTGGTTATCAAGTTGCTTGTCTTTTTTACTGCAAGAGACTTTACACACGTGGTTATTCACCTGTGACCTTTGTTGTAGTTTGCAAGGAAGGTATTTCCAAAGGCATGTGGCAATCTTAATAATAAATAATATTGAAAGTTTAAAAAATCCAAATAGACTAGGATAGCAGAGGTTGAGGGAATGGGTAATCTTGACTCCCAATTGGTTAGACATCATTGATTTAAGATTAGCAAAAAAAAAAAAAATGTTAAAAGAGGGTGACTTTTAAGACCTCCCTTGGGATTCACTGAGATTAGGAAACATCTATTAAATGGTAAATGGTAAATATTCGATAATCCTCAATATATTAGCTAGTGACCACATTTAAACATATTTAACATCTTCTAGTCTGTAAAACCGGAAGCTCATTTGCTCCTATCCCAGACAGGAAAAGTTCCAGAAGAAACATTATGTTCTCAATATGGCAAAATATAGGGCAAAATGGAGACTGTCTTCTAGTAACTTGGATCATAGCCTATTTGTTTAATAAAGAGGACGGTGGAGGCTTTTGAGATAATAATAATAATAAAGCTTTCTAGATGCTATCCATGTAGAGATTCATTTGATTACCTTTATCCTTTAACATGCCTTCCTGGCCCACTCATGAACAGGTACAAAAAAGAAGATGTGGACAATTTCTCAGAGAAATGAAAGAGTGAAATGTTAGCAATGACCAGTGGAAACATTTAAATGTGGAAATTTGCTGAGATAAAGTGATGTCAATAACATTACCATTCTAAATGACTTAGTACATACATTTATGAATAGAGATTTATTGAACAAATGAGAAAAGTATTTTATTTTTTTTTGTAAAAGAATATACATGGATGCCTGGAATCAAGGAAAGAGAGAGAGAAAAAAATAAGAGATTGAAGAAGGTGGGGAACACAGAGAAAATTTTCTATCTTATCCAGCCCTAGCTCCCTGTGCTAAAGAAGGTTGCATTTTCATGCAGAAAATGTTTTCCTTTCCCCTGGTTTCTACATGGTCACAAAGCTCTCTGTCTGTGGGGAAGCAGAGCCAAGCTACTGGGTCTCTGTAATAGAAGTTGCCTTTGTAAAGGAATGCAAAATTGACACGTTGTTCTGTGAGGATTTTCTTTAAGGGCAGCCAAGGCTGAGTGGTGTGGGAGAAAAAAAAGTAAAGCTGCTCAAACTGCAGAGGTGCCAAAGATACTTTTCGGGGTTGGGCACAGCGGGAGAGTGACTCGGTTATAGTCAAGCTAAAGGACAATGCAGGTTGATGGCTTGAAATAATGGGTGGAGATGGAAAAAAAATGGGTGCATAGAGTCAATTTATCAACGAGCAAAACTTAATTTCTAGCAGGTCAATATTTTATATAGTCTACAGCAAGGGAAAAAGTGTCTAGATTTTAAACTATTCATTTATTTATTTTTGTAAACACCCCTTGGAAGCCCTTCTAAGAGCAGGGATAGTATTTAACATCCTTTAACATGAATTAATCTCCCTTAGAATGGGGGGGGGGGAATTCTCCCATATTGTGAAGCTTGAAGATAACTTATAAGACAATTAAACCACAGAAAGTGAGATGTGAGAATATATTAGCATCTGAAGGCTTTAATTGTTTTGGGGAACAGTTGTGGGATTTAACCCATTCCTGATGGCAACAGGAAAAGCAGTCTTATTTTTACCCGCCTTATTCCTCAGAGATCAGGTTGTTGTTGTTTTTTTTATAGAAAAGCAGCAGCTGGCAGACCAATTGGCTGTTTACCACAACTGGAGATAGGTGGGTGGGTGGGTGGATGGATGGATGGATTTATAGTTAGTTTGCCGATTATTCTTGTGATAAATGGATAAAGTTAGTCCTATGTTTGATGGAGATTGATTAATAGGCTGCTTTGATTGGATTTAGTTCATAATTGGTCTTATTTGGAAATAGCCACAATTGAAGCTTTTAAGAATGTTACCCTGATTGTTAAGAAACACCCAAACACTGAAAAGGGAACCTGGAATCTGGCCCAGTACTAAAGGCAGAACTAAAGGATTGCACCTTCCATATGGTGGTTTCAAACGTTCTAAAGTCACATCAACAGTCTGGTATTGTTTTACACATTGTGAATGTATTCATGGTAAATTATTGAGTTTTCATGTTTGAGAATGAGGCAGTAGAATTTCCTTCTAAGTAAAATAGGTTTTAAAATAATGTGTGTGGGAATGTAAGTATTTGTACACAGAAGATAGCTTATTTGGTATAAGCTATAGAAAGTGTTTTAGATTAGACTGATTGCTATCACACTTTGGCAAATTGCATTTGATTTCTCCCAGAGAGCTTTATGTAGAGGAATCATTCCTTAACTGTGAAGGCCACACAACAAAATTATGTGTGTGCCTTTTTGATTGCTCACTTTGAGGAAGAATTAAATTTTAATTGAGAAGAATCCCCCCTTTTGAATATACTTCTCTCAGCAAAATACTTAGAAAAAGAAGATGTACATGTAATTTTGCCAAATACATGTTATTTCTACTTTATTATTTTTTTATCTCTATCCCGGTAAAGGTTAGGTGCCCTTTTAAATAGTGCAAGTGAAAAAGTAGATTTTCATAATTCAGTGCTTTGTATGTTTGAATAGCTTATCAATACTACTGAAATACATGCAAATTATTTTTTAAGTAATAAAAGTTTTAATGCCATGAACATTAATTATATACAGTTTATTGCATAAAGTTTTCAATGGAATAAGAACTATACAATGACATTTTTGCTTAGAAATAATAATACTGACATATGATTAGATTTGTGAAAGTATCTGTAGGTAACCTTTACTCTGGAAATGAAATATTCCCCGTTGCAATCATGCTGTGTATTTTGAAAACTGTGCCAGAAGGTCCCACAAAGCTCCAGATTTTGGAGGTTTGCAGGGTGATCAGATGGCTCATCCTTCTGATCAGATATTCTATTTATAAAAAGATTTAAATGGATACTACTTCTGATTATTGATTCAGTGTTATAATGCTCAAAGCATGATAAAACCTTCTCATAAGAGCTGGTAGTTATATTCTGCAGTGATCTTAGATACCTTAGAAACAATCTTCTGCATTTAAAAAGGATGCAAAAGAAGAAAGATCTTAAAGGATGAAGCTCTGAAAGAAAAAAGGCATTGTAACTCAGCAAAAAATGCAAAAGCAGATGAGTAACTGGTGTATGTAACTAGGGATGATGAAGAGAATGGAGGATAATTTTTGCTTCTTCTCATGAAGTGATATAACAGATGAAAATAAAGTGATTCAGTATTCTGTGCTCCATGTGCTTGAACAGTTATAATAATTGATTCAGTACCTAGCTAAACTAGTTTTCAAAACTTGTAGACAAAATGGGCACCAACCTGAATCATTTTAAAAAGAGATTAGTATCTTGATGGAGATGAAGGATGCCAGTGGTTGTTACACTCAAGGCCAGCTATTCAGGGGAACTGAGTAGTTGTGATTAGGATTACTGTTGTGCATGTCCTGCTTACAGACTTCTGATCAGCATCTCAGTGGAGATATAATGTTGGCTAGACATGATTTTGATTATTATCTGTTAAGATGAAATATTCATTGGATTAACTGTGCATTGCCTGAAAAGTTGTCTGGAATGCAATTTATAAATGTTTTAATCATTCATTTTTATCAGTGAATTGAGCTTTTAAAAGGAGCTAAGGAGCTAACTTCATAAGAATTCTGGTATGTAGGCTTTGGGTGACAAAACTTAGGAAATGATTGGTAATCTGTTCAATAATATGTTCTTTAGTGCCTATGTTTGTTTAAGGATATCTTTAAGAGGAAACCTGCAAAGTTGCTTATCAAATTCATAAAAATTCACAGCTGTTTTGAGTTTCACATGAATAGAAAGAGGTATAAATCAGATATATAATAGATAAATAATAGACCATTAACATCCATTAAACAACTTAATAACTAATAAAATTCAAATAGTAGGACTGTAACCAACTAAATACAATTAGATCAATCATGCATTTAATCAGTCCATCAAGAAGTCCTATGTAAATCCATAGGTGTCTTGGGGCTCAAAAGCATGAGCCTAATGTGTCTCAGATGGTTAATAAGTTCCATAATGCTGGCACCATCACTGAAATGTTCATATTCTTTATATTATTTTCATATGAGCTTGGTTGAAGATTTCAGTAACTATTCAGCTTTTGCTTCTGTTGCTTTTATATTTTGTCTACACTAAAAAAAAACAGGATGCATATTTTCTTTGGCTGACTGGAGGCATTAACTGTAGAGTATTTTAGGACACATTAGTTTACATGGTGCACAAATCTAAAGTTAATTCCTTGAGAGAATGCAAAAATGTTGCAAAAACTAAACAAGAAAATAGTGGCTTTATTCAGTTCCCAGTTTTATAACATGCACAAAAAAACTGGCATTGAATTCCTAGGGCAATTGCACATATTAAATGACATTACAGTAATCTTTAAAAAAAAATATATTGAATTTTTGAATTACTTCTATATTCTCCTGTGTTATTTTTAATATTATCAGCTGAAAATATCAGCATTGCAGTGCTCAATTTTCAGTATTAATTTGTACCAGAATGATCTGTTTAACATTTCAATATAGAGAAAGTAATTTATTCAGGGATGAGTTCTTTCTTCCAGGGGAATTAATTTTTATTAATATTATTCAGTCATCCTCCATGTGCTCAATCAAAGCACC